GCACGTCCCCAGCTGACGGCAGGACGAGCAGCAGTAGGAGGGGAGAACGCAGAATTGTGCCTACGAAGATTGCTACCACCCCATGCAACGGGCGGTGATTTTGACAACGTGTCGGACCTGTGACGACATTCTAAGTAAATATACGCGTGTTTAACGCGAGACTGTCACCAGCTCAGCACGTGGAATCCAAACAGCCGTGCTAAAACAAATGTTGACTTCCCTTTGTGGTCTGCTGTTGCTGCTGCAGTTGAAGCTGCTGCTGCTACTGCTGTAGCTGCTACTGCTGCTGCTACTGCTGCTGAAACTGCTACTACTGCTGCAGTTGCTGCTACTGCTGCAGTTGCTGCTGAAGCTGATGCAGCTGCTGTAGGTGCTGCAACTGCTGCTGCTTCTGCTGCGACTGCTGCTACTACTGCTGCTGCTGCTGCTTCTGCTGATGTAGGTGCTGCAGCTGCTGGTACTGCTGCAGCTGCAGCTATTGCTGCTTCTGCTGCTGTAGGTGCTGCAGCTGCTACTAATGCTGCAGCTGCTGCTGCTACTGATGCAGTTGCTGCTGCAGCTGCTACTGCTGCTACTGCTGCTGCAGCTGCTGCTGCTGTAGCTGCTGTAGCTGCTGCTGCTACTGCTGCTACTGATGCAGCTGCTGCTATTGCTGTAGCTGCTGCTGCTGTAGCTGCTGCTACTGCTGTAGCTGCTGCTATTGCTGCTGCAGCTGCTGCTACTGCTGCTAATGCTGTAGCTGCTGCTACTGCTGCTGCTACTGCTGCCGCTTCCGCAGGAAAGCTACCGGGGCGCGCCATCTCAGCTGAGTCCTGCACGAAGCACACCAGCTTCTATCGATTGTGCGTTCCATCAATTGGCATTCTACATTCCTGTGATTGTTGATGTTGTTGTTGTTGTATAACTTACAAAGAAGAATTATTATCGATCGCTTCAGGACGCTGTAAATAGAAATTTGATCTTGCTCATGGAAATAACGGGGAAGGGTTCCGGGACCGTACGTGTGTGTATGTTGAACTTCTTTCGTATCGTACGTAGCCAACCGTGCTAATCGGAGGTACAAGGGAAGGATAACAATTAAATTAAGCCCGTATTGTCACGAACACGAATATATATTCTGGTAGTGGGGGGGGGGGGTAGTGGGGGGGGGGGATGTCGATGACGCGTTGCGGCTGCACCCCACGCGATGACGAGGAGGGAGCCACTCCGCTCCCAGCCACAACAAAATAAAACTGCAAAAAGCAAAACCGTGAAAAACACTACTTAGACCGCCGTGAACCTGAAATGTCTCGCCTCGTGATATGAATAGATCTGAGATATACATTTTATACACACTCTGTACAAAGACAAAGATCCCCTCCCCAGTATAGCCTTAACAGACTGTAGGGGCAAGTGCTGTTAGCGAGCACCTATGAAGGCCGGAACGGCACACGAGGGGGGTGGGCGGCCAGCACCATGCCGGGCCGCCTTTGTCTCCCCAGCAGCGATGCTTACACACCGCACAAAGTACTCATTTGAGGCTGAGTCAACCTAGGGGAGGCCCAGGACCGGTTCAAATAAACGTGACTGGTGTTGGCCGTGAGCGGGAATCGAACTCGGATCGCCGGGTTCCTAGGGCAGCGCGCTAACCACTGCACCACCGCTCCCACGCGCGCAGAGGAGCGTCGTGCTCTGTCGAGCGAGCACGTGGAATCGACTTTAATTTATTCATAGATTCGCTGTTGTGACGTCACTCGGGTGACGTCATCAGATGTGTGGGCGGGTTCGCCACGAGGCTTTTTTTTCTTTTTTTTTTGCCCCAAACGAGAGCAGCGGCGATGGCGATTAAATGTTACTCGCAACACTTTAAAGCAACTGAATACTTAAACTATTTATGTATTTACTCGCTGGTTCAGCAGTTCCACTGCCATATTATTTTTTCACCGCTTGTGTTGCGATCGAAACGTCGTGAAATATTATTTTTTTGCTTTATTTCATAATTTTTCTACCTACGTGGCTTTACCGAAAGAACCAACGAGTATGATTCCTTGCAATCACGAAAACTTCAAATCAAGATATTTATTATAATTATTTACCAGGTAAGGCTGACTTGAGCTCTATAAGCAATTTTTTTCAGTAGCGAACCTTGGCGATCACAACCAAATTGTCTTATGGTCACGTGGACACCTACAGCAGTGCTGTTGATTTTTTTAATGCGGAGAGGAAAACCCGGAGGACCCAGAGAAAAAAATCCACGCGACCACGGGGAGAGAGAGAGCGAGAGACACGCAAACTCCAAATATACAGCAGCAGGCGTCAGGGTCGGGATCGAACCTACGACCTCCTGCATACCAGGCGAGGTAGTTAACATCTCCTCGCCCGACCTAATCGCCAATGTAAAAGGTCAAGGCGCAGCCCTGCAATTGCTTGGGCACGGCACCGCTACAAGAAGGGTTTCCGTTAGGGGGTTATGTGGCCTAACTCTTGCACGCAATTGAAGAGAGCGAGAGAGAGCCGTGTTGACGTCTCATTGGTCTGTTGTTTTGAATGCACACAGCCACTTCTGTCAATCCGCTGATGGCTCTGGGCGATGTTTGTTTGACCATACTTCACCACGCTGGTCAAGTGTGGGTTGACATCCAGGACTAGTTCAGGTATTGCTCGCCACTGATGTTAGCCGTGGCAAGCAATCGAACTCAGACCGGAAGGTTAACACTACAGGGTGCTTCAACAAAATGTAAACATATTCTTGGTTCTTTCGGTAAAGTCACGTAGAAGGGAAATAATAACATTTCTTGCTGTGGATTTCACACCTGACGATGATTGCTTGTGTTGCATTCGAAACGTCGTGAGAATTTAAATTTTTTTATATGTTTATTATTATTATTTCCCTTCTACGTGACATTACCGAAAGAACCAATAATATGAATCCCTGCAGTCACGAAAGCTTTCAATCAAAATGTAAACACTTACATGGGACTATCGTTATTGGAAACGAACGGATAATGCACTGTAACATGATAACAAATGTAATGTTCACAGCTTTAGAAAGTCAAAGAGAGTCTCCACGTGTTCGCCAGCGTTGTCAACGCGTGCCTGGGATCCTCTCACAGGTTCTCTCCAGAGCTCGGAGGCGGTACATTTATTTCGGCGTTGTTGCAAATTCTCAGAAGTGTTAATATTTTTTTAAGCACCCTGTACAATGCGCTAACCATTGCGCCACCACTCCACCACTCCTCGCAATGTGAACTACAGGACTAACATGAGAGACACTTAAAAAAAACTGGCGAAAATCTACCGGGACGCGTAGAGACCGCGTCTCCACCACGGGGACCTCCTGAGCTCGAATCGCGACCACGAATCAAAGTGTCGGTGGCGATAATCCACTTTCGCTGGGCGATCATTTGCCACGGCTTCTGAAAGAAAAGAAAACACCCCCCCCAAAAAAAAGCGCCAAGTAGCTCAAGTGTGGCCTTAACCTGGTACCATACAAACTAGACTGTATCGTTTCTAGATTTGAAGCTTTCGTGACTGCAACGATTCATACTCTTTGTTTTTTTCGGTAAAGTCACGTAAGGAAAAAAATGTAATAAAATAAATGAAAACAACTAAATTAAATCACGACGTTTCGGGCGCAACACAAGCGTCCGTCATCAGTTGTTTTCATTTATTTAATTTTTTTACCTACGTGACTTTACCGAAACAACCAAAGAGTATGGACCACATCGTTTTCGTGTAAGTCTACTGTGACCACTTGACCTTGAGACAAGCATCACGAGGCAGGAGGTCTGGGTTGTGGCCGGTTTCGTGCTGTGGTCTCTCCCCTGCGTGGTCACGCAAAAAAGAAAGGTTTCAGTGGCTCCGCGAGTGTTCCTGTTACATTTTAATTGCTCTCGTGGTCCCCATTAACACCCAACACCGCGTGGCAATACCAGGTATTATAGGCTGCCGAGGGAGGAGGGGCTAAGTTCTGTGGAATCAGCGGAGAGCAGTCCTTGCGGCCGAACGCCACGGTTGTTGTACTGCACTGCTATGCTCTACACGTCGTATGTGCTCCACCTCGGCATGCATCTACCCCCACTGATCAGCAGCGTGGTGAAGTATGGTCAACCCCCCCACCCTCCACTCCTAAGGGAGGGGTTAGGAGTGGGGGGTGGCCACACAGCAGTCACGTGATTTACAGGAGGCTCGAGATGATTTAAAACAAAATAAATTATCTGCACTGACTCCGCGCGATGTATGGAAAACCCGCCTCGAACCCAGCACCGTTCATCGTCCAGAAAAATAAAAAAATCTAGAAACGTCCGGACTTGTTTTTGTCCGATACTAGTTTCCCCGCGCCCCCCCCCCCCCCCCCCAAGATCCACAATTTCACAGACACAGGCTGCAGTATCACAATCATGCCCTGCTTTTTTTTTGTTTGTTTGCTAACAACGCCACCACCACCACAACAACAACAACAAACATGCGAAATCGTGTCTGCGGATTTTCACTCGAGACGCGGGACTGTGAGAGACAGCAGCGACCACTCAACAACAAAGCCACGTCCTCCCCCCTCACCCATCCAGTGCACACGGAGCGCACGGACCATGTGGAGCACGTGGTACACGTGGGACGCACGTGGTACACGTGGGACGCACGTGGAACACACGTGGGACGCACGGATCACGTGGCAGTACGTGGAGCGCGTGGAGTGCACGTGGGTGAATCCGCGTGTTCACCGCCACTTCAAGAGAGGGAGTCCGCGGTCTACCCAATTGGGTAAGCAAATAAATCAATAAATATGCAATGACATTATATAAATAAATATTCCACGGCGAGAGGTGTGCGCAGCTGCACTCCGAGATTGTTTCGCTCGCGCTGCTCTTGAATTCGGCGCGTTTCGTTTCGTTACATTTCTTGATATTTTTGTGTCCATCCGATGGGCGCGCTCGTTTATTGTTTTGTTTTTGGAGCAGGACGACTCTTTAAAAAATAAAACATCGACCACGACGACGCCACGCTCAAGGTTGCACCTCCGAGGCCCCCTCAGTGTCGTGAAGGAGCAGCCTGGGCATCTGTTGCGCCATCATCCGCTGGGTGAGTCATTGGCAGCGTGACGCCACCGAGGAGTTTGAGAGAGTGACCGTGGCATCGTGTGTGTGTGTGCGCGTCTCTCTCTCCGCCCATCGCTCCACCTCTCTCTCTCTCTCTCCTGGCTCGTGTGTCCTTCCGTCCGTCCGTGGGGCACACGTGTCACACAGCGTTCCCGTGGGGGGGAGAAGACTTTGACTCACCACCATGCAGCTCTCACGCTGAGAATGTGAGTCACCGGGCGCAGTATCAGCAGTGCCACCACCACCACTACCACGGGTCCTCACGTTGACAGCCACGCAGTCGTTCTCACGTTGAGAAACAAACTGGCCACCACCCACAACTACACCACCACCAGTAGCAGCAGTAGCAGCAGCCATCACACGTTGAGAGGCAGACAGACTCACAACCACCACCACCACCACCACCTCCACTCCTCACTTTGACAACCAAAGTGGCCACCACCACCACTACCAACGCAACCACCACCCGCACAACGGGGCGGGTGGTGGGGCGCGCGCGCGCGGGCTCAGGGCAGGGCAGGCAGCGGTCAAACGTCGCTGGGTGTCCTCGCGCGGAAAGGCACGTTGGTGGAGAGGCACCCGCAGCACAAGATCCACAGCGCCTTCTGGATGTCCTGGTTGCGGAACGCGTAGATGATGGGGTTGATGACCGAGTTGTAGGTGGCGGGCAGCAGCGTGGCGTACGTGTAGACGCTGGGGAAGCTGAGATCGCCGATGAGGCTGTAGATGGAGAAGGGCATCCAGCACGCGGCGAAGGTGCCCAGGATGATGGCAAGCGTCGAGACGCCCTTCTTGGTGGTCACGTAGTGCGACGTGGCGAGGAAGTGGTGCTGCACGGCGATCTGCTGCGCGTGCCTGCACACGATCTTGCAGATCTGCGCGTACAGCTGCAGCATGATGGCGAACACGAAGAGGAAGGTGACGGAGAGGAAGACCACGTGGTTCTTGGTGAGCGGCCGGATGATGCTGCACGAGGCGAAGTCGCGCAGGCAGTTCCAGCCGAGCGAGGGCAACGCGCCGAGCACCATCGACGCGCCCCACGTGGTGGCGAGCATGATGTAGGTGCACGACATTGTTCTCTCCGAGTGGTAGGTGAGCGCGTAGTAGAGCGACAGGTACCTGTCGATGGTGATGGACAGCAGGCTGGACACGGACGCGGAGAAGGAGGCGACCAGGAGGCCGACGCTCACCAGGCTCGACGCGTCCGACTGGTACACGTACTGGAAAACGAAGTAGAAGATGAGTCCCAGGCCCGCGAGGAGATCGGCCGTGGCGAGGCTGCCGATGAGCAGGAACATCGGCTCGCGCAGCGCGGGCGAGTGGACGATCACGGCCACGACCACGGCGTTCTCGCACGCGATGAGTGAGCCCGTGACGCACAGCGCCACGTCCCACGGGTTCACCGACGAGAAGCTGGGCACCACGGAGGCGGCGGCCAGGGACGAGGAGGAGTTGCTGCCGTCGATGGAGCCCTCCATGATCATCGCGGCCGAGGGGGAGAGGCGCGCCGATAAGTTGGAGACGTCCTCGTTCATGCTCCGAGCGTTGCCGAGGCTCGGGCCGGCGGCGGCATCGGCTCGTCCTTCGGTCTTTCTCGTCTTCGTCGTCGTCTTTGCCAACACCACCACCACGACCACCACCACCACCACGACCACCACCACGACCACCACCACCACCACGACCACCACCACCACCGCCCTCGTCGGTCCGGCAGTCGCCGGTCACAGCAGCGGCCACTTGAGCGAGGAGATTGGAAGCGACCTGCAGCGGCGTGCGGACACATCAAAGGTTAGCGAGCGGCCGATAAAAGCACGGTCGGCTACGTACGGTGCGAAAGAAGTTCGACGAGCATGCGTACAAAGGCGGAGTAGTGAGTGTGCACGCTCACAATATTCGTCGATTTTTTTTTTATATTTACAAAAATTAAAATGACAACATCAGCAGCATGGTGAGAGATGGCGATATCGTCTTTATGTAAGTCCTTCACCCAGCAGTGGATTGATAGTGGCTGCTGCTGCTGATGATGATGATCAGTTTTTGTCATGCTCTTCTATGAAGGGGGTTGCTCATTCTTCTCTGCTGCCCCCACAGTCTGGGAAACCCCGTCCCCCAATTCAAATTCAGGCTCCAGACCTTTTTCATATCCTCTGTCTATGACTGGACCCATGGACTCACACAGAGACACATAGACTGACAAAGACACCCATGGATTTCACACGGAGACCCATGGACTCACACAGAGACCCATAGACTGACACAGACACCCATGGATTTCACACGGAGACCCATGGACTCACATAGATACCCATAGACTTGCATAGAGAACCCACAGCCTTACATAGGGACCCATATACTCACACAGAGACCCATAGACTTGCATAGAGAACCCACAGTCTTACATAGGGACCCATATACTCACACAGAGACCCATAGACTTGCATAGAGGCCTATAGACTTGCATAGAGACCCATAGACTTACATAAAGACCCATAGACTTACATTGGCACCCATAGACTTACATAGAGACCCATAGACTTACATAGAGACCCATAGACTTACATAGGGACCCATATACTTACATAGAGACCCATAGACTTACATAGGGACCCACAGACTTACATAGAGACCCATAGACTTGCATAGAGACCCATAGACTTACATAGGGACCCACAGACTTACATAGAGACCCATAGACCTACATTGGCACCCATAGACTTACATAGAGACCCATAGACTTCCATAGAGACCCATATACTTACATAAAGACCCATAGACTTGCATAGGGACCCATAGACTTACATAGAAAAGCACAGACGACAATGTTCTGATCTTTGAGCCCCCCCCCCCCCCCGCTCTTATTGAATGATATATTGATCGTAAACAATGATGATGACAATGACGACGACGATAATGACTTTCTTCCGTTCAACCGAATTCGCTTCCTCGTAAGGAAGGTGGCTGCATATTCCTCTTCTGTGATCTCTCCTCTCCCTCTGGCACCGGATGCTGAGGCAGCAGCGTGCTCGGGACACGAACCCAGACGCCACAAAGACAAAGATCCCCCGTATAGCCTTAACAAGCTGTCGGGGCAAGTGCTGTTAGCGAGTAGCACACCTAATGAAGGCCGGCACGGCACACGATGGGGTGGGTGGCCAGCACTACGCCCGGCCGCCTTTGTCTCCCCAGTAGCGATGTTTTCACACCGCAACAGGTACTCATTTGAGGCTCAGTCGACCTAGGGGAAGCCGCGGACCGGTTCAGATAATCGTCACTGGTGTTGGCCCCGAGCGGGAATGGAACCCGGGTTGCTGGGTTCATAGCGCAGCGCGCTAACCGCTGCGCCACCGTTCGCACGCACACACACACTCGTACACACACACACTCGCACACACACACACACACACTCGTACACACACAGCCACCTGCACACTTGTACACACACACACACTCGCACACACACTCGCACACACACAAACACACACTCGCAACACACACACTCGCACACACACGCGTACACACACACACTCGCACACACACGCGTACACACACACACGCACACACACGCACACACACGCACACACACACTCGCACACACACTCACACACACACTCACACACACTCACACACACACACACTCGCACACACACACACTCGCTCACGTGTGCACACACACACACACTCGCACACACACACACACTCGCACACACACACACACTCGCACACACACACACACTCGCACACACACACACACTCGCACACACACACACACTCGCACACACTCGCACACACACTCGCACACACACACTCGCACACACACTCGCACACAAAGATCCCCCTTATAGCCTTAACAGACTGTAGGGGCAAGTGCTGTTAGCGAGCACCTATGAAGGCCGGAACGGTACACGGGGGTGGTGGGTGACCAGCACCACGCCCGACCGCCTTTGTCTCCCCAGTAGCGATGTTTGCGACACCGCACCAGGTACTCATTTAAGGCTGAGTCGACCTAGGGGAGGCCCAGGACCGGTTCAGATAATCGTCACTGGTGTTAGCCGTGAGCGGGAATCGAACACGGGTCGCCAGATTCATAGCGCAGCGCGCTAACCGCTACACTACCGCTCCCACACACACACACTCACACACACGCGCGTTCAGCGATATTCGAGTGAGCTCTGGGTGGTGACGCCCGTTCCCTCTTCTCGGGTATCCGGCAGCGTGAGTCACTTGCCCGTTGCCGGACAGAACAACAGAAACCAGGAGGATGAATAATAATTCGTATTATTTTGGTCGCATTGTTGTTATTGATGACAGCAATTTTGCTCAGAAGCTCGATACCAATGTCGAGGTCCTGCTGCTGCTGAGCAGCATGAGACAGCTTCAGCAGAGACGGAGAGTTCGTGTCGTGTCGCTGTTCCTCCTCCGTTGAAAGAGCGCTCAGATCGCAGTGGGCTCACTGCGCGGTCCGTAGTGTGGGTCACGTGGCCACAGTCGCAACACTGTGGCTTGTGTCTTTAGTGTGTCTCTATGTGTCTCTATGTATCTCTATGTATCTCTATGAGTCTCTATGTATCTCTATGTATGTGTCTCCCCCCCCCCCCCCCCCAATATTTATTATAATTAAGGCCTTGGTCCACCCTCTGGGTTACATGGCCTGAATTAACATGACTGTTGCTTGTCCTTAATGGATATCTATGTACCTCTATGGGTCTGTGTGTACCTCTATGGGTCTGTGTGTACCTCTATGGGTCTGTGTGCGTCTCTCTGTATGTCTGCGTGTCTCTATGGGTTGAATATACGGCCCGTTGCGTTGATTAGATGACCATAGTCGCACCTCCGCTTGGCACGGTTTGGCCTGCGTACGGTGCGAAAGAACGCCCAGCATGCACGGCCGTCTGTGTGTGTGCGCGCGATCTACCGAACTGCATTGTTATTGTCCACAATTTAACCACGAATCTGCTTTCGGAAATCTCGCGAAGTACGAAGAGCGTCAAGAGAACGGCCCGCAGAAGTGGGCATCACAGAGCTGCCGCAGAGATCCCTGCTTCAAGTAACGTCTGGTCCGTATAGTGGGGGTGGGGGGGGAGACGAAGGCGGTCGGGCGTGGTGCTGGCCACACCACCCCCTCGTGTGCCGTGCCGGCCTTCAATGGTGCTCGCTAACTGCACTTGCCCCAACAATCTGTAAAAGGCTACACAAGGAGGGGGAACTTTGTCTTTGTGCGTGCGCGTTCCTCTCAGGACAGGGTAAGGACGGGGAGAGGAGCAGTGGGCGTTGGAGGAGGCCGTGTGCTCGGTGGCAGAAGACGGGGAGCTCTGCGTGCAGAGCTGAGCTACCCGTCGGAGGCCGTGGGACTACGAGAAGGGCTGGGTGCAGATGCAGCACTTGTAAAAAAAAAATCCAAATATGTACATAGAAAACAGGGGGGACATAGACATAGAGTAGGGAGAGAGGGGGGAGGTAGAGAGAGGGGGTAGAAAGAGAGAGGGAAGGGGTATGAAGGATGAGAGCAGAGCGTGACATCTTTTGTGAAATCTTTCATTTAAACAGGGGGGGGGGGGGGGGGGGGGGTTGGGCACATTGAAAAAAACAAAAAAAACGAAATGATGAGCGAAGCAAAGTGCCGACTACACCGAGCATCTTCCGGTTTCCTCTGATCGTAAAAAAAGAGAGAGAGGAGAGAGCGACGGGAGAGCGAGCAATTAAGGGGAGAGAGGAGCAAAGATGAGAGCGCGTGAAGCGCGAGAGACATCGGAGAGGGTCGGGAGAGAGGCAGAGAGGAACCGCAGAGGCAGAGAGGACATGGGAATAGGAGAGGTTGGACTAAGAGGAATAGGAGGGACAGGGAGATGAGAGAGAGATGAGCAGGAGGGAGATGTAAGAGAGATGACCAGGAGGGAGATGGGGAGATGAGAGAGAGATGAGAGAGATGACCAGGAGGGAGATGAGAGAGAGAGATGAACCGGAACCCGGAATGCGCTCGGGGCTCCTCGCGCGGCGCGATGGGACGTGAGGTCGGGGGGGGTGGAGGAGTTGGTGGGGGGGGGGCGATATTCATAATCAAAAATCGCAACAGCCGATTCTAACTACGACCTCGAATCGATTCAGCACAAGGCGGAGCAATCGATAACGATGCATCTAAATACATCCCCGACGGTCAAGAGAGGCGAAGGTCCCGGGGCAGGCCGAGTCTCACCCCACGCGTGGATGAGTTCACCTCAAATTCACCCCCCTGCTCGCATCTCCCCCAGCAGCGTCTCGCAATTCCCTGCTCACGATTCACCGCTCGCGATTCCCCGCTCGCGATTCCGCTTGCGATAGAGAATCGACACGTGACACTTTCCGTGTCAATAACGTGGTGGCCTTGGAAGGGTACGTGTGCATATGTGATAGGCAACGTTTCGGGATATGGCCCTTCTTCATGGCACATAAATGCCACGCGCGATGAGACACGGCGCAGATAGAAACAAGGCAGCCTCTGATATTGACAGATCCGGCTGCGTGGAAATCTGGCGTGGTTTGAATGGTGTGCACGTTGAACTTCTTTCGCGCCGTACTTAGCCAACCGGCAAGGAGACGTGTCACTGCCTCGCCACTGTGACGATGACGACGTCGACGATGAGGTCATCGTCGTCAACATGAGCTGTGTCCAATCCACCGCTGGATGATGTGGCCAACCGTTGCTCATAGTAACCTCCGATGGGCACATGATGTGCCTACAACAACCTCGCAGACCCGAGTAGCTCTACCGGATAGGGGACAACTCC